TCTGGAGCCAGCGGGTTCTGACTGACCTCCCTCTCACTTTATTCGAGCTGAATTACATCCTCCCTCTCACGGTTGTAAATATGGCAAAAACTACTGAGTTCACGTGAACCCATACAATACAAGCTAGATCTGCCTCTGTGGAGACAATCAGCGTGGAATACCACTTATGAAACTTGTTTTCGCTACTCCCACCAAGAAAGTCATTTTCAAGATGTTACTGAGCTTGATTTCCTAGAGAACTTGTTTTCCTCCATACCAAACACACCCTCGTGTGCTTTTTTTATTTTATTTTTTATTCAGACTTGAATGCAATTAGGTTTTTGTAAGTTTTCTAGTTTGGAGTTATGAGTTTTCACACTGTCAAAGTTATTTATGTGGACTGAAACTTCCAAGAAAATACAGTATTATTGTGCTATAGTGGAACCACCTGTATGAATAAGCTCCATATTCCTTTTAATTTTGTGGCAGAATAGATCCGGATCCCCTGAACTTGACGACTTTTATTTAATGCACAAGTAAATTTTACATTGGCCTAATTACCGTGGAAGCACGTGTGTCTCACTTTGTTTTCTTAAGCAAATGATCAACAACAATTACCACACATCAATTCAAACTAGTTGAGGTCAGCTATATAAATCATATCTATCCAATCTCCTCCATTTACCGGATTTCATATTCCAACATTCAGTACTTGGGGTTCCTTAACGGATAGGAGTTCTCTGCAATTCCAATTGATATATGCATCTCTAAACAGGCTAAAAAGCCTCCTAGCAAATACTGACCCTAATGTAAGCCTACCATCATGGCTAAGCATAATCCCAACTAGTTATATCATGTTCCTTTTAGGTTTCATTCCTAAGTGTTTGCTTAGACTAATATCAACTGCTTCAAACTAGCACCAGAATAAGTTTTACTGCTCTATCATGAAGTATTGGATACATTCCCACTCTTCTAAACTTCTAGTTTCATGCTTAAAATTCTCTTCTGTTTTTCTTTTCCAGGCAGCAACATAATATGACTGAAAGCATGGATGAAGGTTTACTAGATAGGAGCAGTCCCAGCAACGCAAGTTCGGAATTGCATGTTACTGCAAGTATTGTTTTGAGCTCCTCAGTTGCTTCCTGTGGTTACTTTGCCTATGGATTTGCTGTAAGTATTGGTATTTACAGGTTTGTTAATTCATATTATTATGGGGATACTGAAGGCACAAATCTTCATCTTTAGTTAAGACTGAATTAAGCATCATTTTGTCCAGCATGTAGTTTTGAAATATATATCTGTTAGTCTTCCTACTGCGTTCTAGCACCACAGGAGTAATAAATGCATAGATTTGTTTCCTCATTAGGCCAAGAACCATGGAGACATGCTCTATTCCCGCTTATCTGTGCTTAAAAATCAGTTTCCTCTTGAGGGTATTTAACATTTAATGGTAGGAGACATGCAAATGTTCTTAAGCACTATAACAAATTTCTGAAATGAGCATACTTGAGATTTCACTATAGTGTAATGTCTAATGACCTAAGGAACTCATGCTAAAGGGCTGCCACTGATTGCTTGCCGACTGTGTGTCCTTTGCAGGTAGGATATGCATCTCCTGCTCAATCGGGGATCATGGATGACCTGGGACTCTCTATAGCAGAGGTAAATTTTTTACAAATCTTTTTCCTGTGTGTAAAAGTGGTAGGAAAGCTCTCACGCTGAGCTGATCATCTTTTCTCGTGCTGTTCTGGGATCCTGAAAAAAAGTTTTAGATCCAGTAATTCAACTGAAAACAGGGAAAACTTGAAGTGCTAGTAGACACTGAATCCATAATTAGTAACCTAGAGTCTTCAAAATAATTGCAGGTTTCTGCTTAATCTCACAGCCTGTTACATGTAATGTGAACATATTGAATCTATTTAGGGTTTAAAGAGGCTCACATTCTTCCTTTTTCTTTTGGATAAATTAAAGGGTTTCATATTCTAATTGGTAGTGATTCAGCATTGATGTTTACTTACATAAAGTTTGTCATGATCACGAAATATACTGGCAGTGCATCAGAAATTGAGTTGTTCTCTTATAAATCAATCATGAGAATTGTTTGTTAGGAGTAAAAGCTTTTATTATTCCAAATGAAGAGGATAAGATATGTGGTTCACAAAATGTACTAATTATGTTCTTAATAGATTTATAGCTGAAATGGGGAAATAGTGAATGCAAGGGAAGGAACAAAACTTTCTTGGAGGAAGCTTACATGTCTTCTTGGAGGAAGCTTACATGTTAGACTCTACTGTCAGTAGCAATATTAACATGATCTCTCTCTCAGTTACTCTGGTTGCTTTACCTAGATGTTCTTTTTTCATTTATGTGCATGTAAATTTTGTAAGTGAGCTCATGTTTCTTTAACCAAGATATCCATTTAGCTACTAGCCTTTGTCAAAGGTTTTTTCTTCCACCATGAGCGCACTTAGAAATTTGGTGTCTGTAATGCAAGTCAAATGAAATGCATTTTCATCAGGATAATTTCTCCTCAAGAATATCAGAATAAATTGGATAAACAAAATATTGAATATTTCTCTTTCCATAGTCTAATTTATTCCTTGTGTTTTTGTGTAGTATTCAGTTTTTGCTTCAATCATGACATTTGGAGGAATGATTGGGGCTTTGATAAGTGGAAAGGTGGCTGATATTTTTGGCAGGAGAGTTGTATGTCTCTTTTCCTTTACTAAGTTTATTGAACTTTTACTTATTAAAAGATTATTGAACCTGAATCAACTTTTTGAGTTTCTAATTGGTTATGATTAATACAGACAATGTGGCTTTTGGATCTGTTTTTTATCTTGGGCTGGTGCTCAATAATCTTTGGCAAGGTACAGAAAGAATATCTTTTACTTCAAAAACACTAGGAAATAACTTTTCTCCTCTCCTCCTCTCTCTCTCTCTCTCT